GTCTGGGTTTCAGGGCACCACTCCCATTGTGATCCTCAGTTTGCTCCCAACATTTAGACTCTTCTTTTCCTTCGGTGAGAACTTGTCCTCAGAATCCTGACGCTTCCACCGGGAAAGCAGTGGAGGACATGAAGAAAGGTCAAACAAATCTACACCTTTAGGAGCTCTGAGTTAAATAGCTAGTGTTTTATTTCCCCATAAAGTCAAAAGTCAGAATTTTCACCATTACAACAGTATTTTCACAACGCAATGCTCTGAGATGTGTAGTCAGTTAAAATTCTTCGTGCAATCTGGCAAGCACCCAGAGAACATTCTGGAGGGGAAACAAGCAACCAGGGATCATCTGAACCGAATGAAGCACTGGGGTTGCTCATAAGTGGGTGGTTGTCTGCTCTTTAGCCCAGTCCTGAACGTCTGCTTCGCCAAAGATGAGATAGATCATCAGACCCAGGATATTAAGAGCAGCCGAAATCAAGAATATATTTCTCCAACCTAAGTCTGAATCCTAGAAGCAGGAAAATAGACATCATTAATTATCCTGGAGTCCTGATCCCTTGTGGCTCAGCTCCTCCTCCCTTAAATCTGCTTCTACCACTAGGGTGTGGGGGACGTATGCTAGGCACATTTCTGTCTTTGGGCTATTGCACACTCTGCACTAGATAGCCACTCTTCCACTCTTTACTTACAAGTTACTTTTTTCAGTGAGGTTTGCTTTACCGATTCAGTTTACAATAGAACTTACACTCTTTCGTGTGTCCTATTCCCTACCCCATCTTGTTCTTTTCCTAGAAATTGAGCATTTGGTGCCACAATGGGTAAGGATTGACTTTATGGATGCAGGTTTGGGGTCTTTTTTTCCCCCTTAAGGCTTACTACAAACCAATATACCACGTTTTACCTTTTTCTGTTAGTTTTCTTCTTGTAGGCTCCACGAGAGTAAGAACTTGGGTTTATTTCCTTTAACAGTGTGTGGCACATGCCAATGTCTAATACGTATTTGTTGAATTAAGAAACAGATAGATGGTAGAATTGGGATCATGATAGTGGGGGTAAGGAAGCATTTAAGAACTAGAGGAAAGTTATATGTTTCATCGTTGCTACCCTGCACCCTGACTGGTTCATCTCCTCCCCACAAGGAGGAGGTGTAAGGGGGTGTCCAGTTGCCTACCGATGGGCTTTGAGTCTCCTCTGCACTCACCCTTATTTACAATGATGTAATTTTTTGTTCTTTGATGCTTGATACCTGATCCCTTCGACACCTCATGATCACACAGGGTGGGGGAGACATTGGACAGTGTAACATATGACAAAATAATAATAATTTATGAATTATAAAGGGTTCACACAGGAGGGAGGGGGAAGGAAGGGAAAAATGAGGAGCTGATATTAAGGGCTCAAGTAGAAGGTAAATGTTTTGAGAATGATATTGGCAACAAATGTACAAATGTGCTTGACACAATGGATGTATGTATGGATTGTGATAAGAATTGTACAAGCCCCCAATAAAATGATTTTTTTAAAAAAACATAATCCAAGGGAGGTCTGCCATTATAGAACTCAAAAGAAGATTGTTGATATTTTTCTATTTTGCATTCAATACAAAATTCTGTTGCATTTGATTTCCCAAGAAGTTTATGTATTCTTTAACTACAACAGATTATTACCTGAGAAAAATGTTTATGATCAAAAGTTCAAAACTTGAATAAATTCTATAATTTCCAAAATTAGAAAGGTTAGTTATAGTTTACACTTCCATATGATCACAGCTTTCATGTTGTTTTGCCTTTCAATAAAGGCCTAAAATCTCAAAAAAAAGAAAGAAAAGAAATAGATAGATGGATAAATGAAAGAAACAACAGGGCCGGTTTGAAATGTTTTGTATAAGCAACTATTTCCGAACAATGTGTTTAGTCAATGACTAGAAGTGGATTGAAGCTTCAAAATATAAGTCATTCGATGTCATAAAGACCACTCGTGTTATTCCCTGTACATTTTCTTGATTTAAGCTATCACCCTCTATTCTGACTCAGTGTATAGGAGAGAGACTGCTCTCAAAAGTTTTCACGGGTGTAATCTTTATGTAATCACCTGTCGCATCTTTCTCTTGCAGAGCAGCTGGTGGGCTCAAACCACTAACCTTTCCATTATCATCCAAGCACATTCACCTCTCTGCCAGTTATGCTGAGCCTTTGAAAATATTACTTTCCTGACCTACTCATGGAAAGGCATAGAGAACCTTAACAATTATATTTATGCGAGGTTCACACTTGGCTTTATGTAATGTCTGTTTGAATAGGATTGTTATCGATAGTTAATTACTTTGATTGTTCACATTTTTGACACCTAGACAGAGCTTCCAGTATCAAAAATGCTATAACTGTAAAGCCAACAGCAAGCCTTCCTGATTAGGCGATGTTCTGTGCTCATAATGCATGGACATCATTTTGTCTTTCATCCAGTATCTCAGTCATCTATTCAGGTCCTTTTATTGAGTTCCTACATCATTCCTACATTGCACCATTTGGCTCACTACTTTCAAGGGTTTAGAATTGATAGTGGTACAGCCCAAAACATCCATCACAGTGGAGCTCCACAGGAGGAGAAATTCCAAGATTATTGTCAGAAAAGTGGATGCGCACCATGAGAGACTCATCTTAGGAAATGCAGAGTCAACCAATTGAGCACTCCTCCCCTGTTCACAGACTGAACATGGGTGATTTCTCCTGGGTGATCTTGATCAATCCTGAACTCGAGTTTCCCGTTAAGACCTTACCTGGCTGATCACAAATCCAGTAATGGTGGGAGAGATTGCTCCAGCTGTGGACATAATGACTTGTAATACCCCCTTAAGAAAGCTTGAGTATCTGTAGAGAGATGATGTAGAAACATGTTTCTGTGAGTGAAAGGTTCTGCTGGGCTGGCCTAGTGCAATTCTGTTCTTACCAATGTGGATGTCTGGCGTTATGCTGAGCCTTGAGGGGACGATGTCTTGGAAGGAATAGTTATTAATATAATCATGTGTCTTGGTCTGAGAGTTCAAGGGGACACTGGTACTAAGTCGTCACTTTCATTCATAGACTATAAATCAGTTGGTGGCTTGCACCTGGTATCTATGTTCACTATGGAGCCTGATGTTGAAATTTTGTTTGGGGCACAAAAGAGTCTCATTGTATGAGATGAAGACTCCCTTCAAATCTTCTTGAGATCCTGACACCTATGTAAAGAGAAACCACGTGCATTGACTTGGGGATCTATGAAGAGACGTCTTAGTGATCTCTGCTCATCACCTATACTTTCTTCTACTACCAAGTATGCTTTCCTTATCAAAACCGTATATGATTCTGTGGATTCTCATGGGTCCTATCAATTATCCAACCCTGTGTAATGGCTGCATTCCTCAACAGTGAGGAGTGTCTGCCGTGATCCCAACACTGAAATGTTAGAAGCCACTGACTGTTCTAGTTTTCACCTGGATAAGGTCAATTCCCAATGATTGAACAGCTGTAGATGCCTTCCAATGATTATTTGGATGTAGGGTACGTGTTAGCCTTTCCTGTGACTTCTTGCATATGACACATGTTCTATGTGCATCAGAACAGATTTAGGGCTCCTGCAACTGAATAAGTCTTCTGTGAGGATACAGGACCTACCGAGGAGCAATATCCAAGATATTAACATAGATTCCTGAGAAGGAAATGCTCCTGAAGATATAAAACCGCACCACGATGACCACAGAAGTACTAGCACTGGACCGGACCCAGTACAGGGACACCAAGAACATCGATGGTATGGCAGTTCCTGGGGGGTGGTGGGGGAGGGAGGGGACAGAGACAGAGTAAAAGGTGGCTTCTCTAGGCATTCCACACCCACCCCAGTAAGTGGCTCACTTCTTACCTATGGCAGTGAAGAGTTTTCTTACACTGATGAGTCTAAGACATTTTCTGGAAAGAAGGAAATCTGCCAGTAGCCCTCCAATGATCATAAAGACGAAGGCAAACACAGATGGCACGGAAGACAGGATCCCACTCTGAGGACCAAAGACGAGATGAGCTGCAGGCCCTTCCCTCTCCTCACCATAACCCAGACTGATGCCTGGACCAATTGTCCGTACGTTTGCCTTTTCACTATCTATCATCACAGTGCATATCGATAATTTTTATTAGATTGAGTCAGTGTAATTGTATTGCCTGGAGGAAAATATGTGCATGATTCATTTTGCAGAAAGGGCCTAGTGCACGTCTCATATATAGAGATCATCTGGAAAAACATATGAAACAGATCCAAGACCAAGTTCAAATTAGGCAAATGATTTCAACAATCTACAGAATAGAAAAATATGTGTCTTCTAAATATATTACAAAGTACTCAACCTTACCTATAAAATAAATAAAAAAAACAAGCAAGCAACAGCAACAAAGCCCCCAAACCCAATGTAGAATAATAGGAATGCAAAATAAAACCATAGAGACACATCCTCTTCCATAGAGCACATTTGCAAAATTACAAATGTATTCAGCACATTCTCCTGTGTGGCTTTCTGGAAATGGGTCCTCAGTAACTATTTGGAAGTCCCACCTTGTGCCTTGTAAATATGATACTGTTTTTGAAATAGAGCTTTCCTTTTTTTAGGTTAGAGAGGTCGTACCAGGGAAAGTGCATCCCAGGCTAATCTCTTCTGAATGATAGCCTATAAAATGAGAGAACAGGTATGGAGAGGCACATCATGGGAGGCAGTTGGCAGGTGAAGGTATGAGTGCAGGTAGCTAAGGAACCTTGTCACACCCTGATGTATAGAGAAGAAAAGATTCTCGCTGGAACCAATGCCTCCAAATTTGTGACCCAACCAATTCTGGTCTTTTATGCCACATACTTACGGCGTATTTTGTCCTGGCAACATTAGGTAAATAAGACAGAGCAATTTCATAACACAGTGGACTTTTTGAAAGTTTGTAAAAAAGAGGAAGCGAAACATAATGTATTTTTCCACGAACTTTTTGAAGCCCTATCATGTAAAGTTCATACTTATATACCCATTGGCTCACCTACCTGGAACACAGATATCTACAGAAATAGCATCAGAAATGCAAAATGACAAATGAATAAGGTTTTCATGGGGGTATTGCTGAAAGAATAGAAACCAGAATATTACTCCGTTAGGAAGTTCTTAAGTACTGTCATGAAACATCTCCAATGTATTTTATGTAGTAAAACAAAGCAGCATATACATCATACAATATTTCGTGTAAAATAACTTAGTTAAATAAGCACATGCATTAACATTCAACTATGCAGTCCTTTTCAAAAGGAAGCATTGTAAGAATAGCTTTAAATCTTTGTTTTAAATAAAGCTTTAACCAAAAATACTTATGTGTCAACTGGACTCAGATCAGTATAGGTTTGGAAACAGGAGTGGGAGGAAGAATTACTCATGTACATACTTCTACAGTTCTAAAAATATTGGGGCCTCCGAATAGATTGGCTTCTAGGTGGCACATATGATTAGCACTCAGTCACTAAGTTATAGTTGTCGGTTCAAACCCACCCAGCAATGCAGCAGAAGGCCCAAAGATCGGCTTTCATGAAGATTACAGCCAAGAAAACTCTATGAAACCATTCAACTCGCAAACATGTAGGGTCATTTAATAATGGATTCAACCTCTAACTTAAAATTCTCCTGAGGAAAATGAAAATATAAGTCACATGTTAGTCTCGGTGAAGTAATTTGGACCCCAAACGACACAGAGATTTTAGCTCTCACTTGATCCAAGCTGCTCATTTCACAGATGAGTAAGCCAAGACCATCCACTTTGGTTGACCTTAGAGAATAATGGGAATCCATGTCTTTTGACTTCCTCGTTTGGGACTCTCCTCCACCTAGTTCCACGTTACCCTTCCCCTCAAACGTTACCATATCCTCTTTGTCTCAGGCTTTATTAGGCGAAGAACCCTTCAGAGCAAATTATTCCCAACAACCAATCTCAGGGTGTCTTTGTGTCTGTACTGACTCCTGCTTCCTTGAATTTCTTGACCCTTGATCCCTGTTTGGTGCTCTGGTTCCATGACCTCCTCCATAGCTTCCTCTTACTTTGAGAAGACCGATAGATCCTCCTTTCTTGGGCTTCTCGCCTCAGTACTTTCAGTCCGCTTAGGCCAGGGCCCTGCTAGTTTCTCAAGCAACGACCACTAAGAGGTTAGCTCTTCTGTTGGCCACTGAGCGCCTTTTCTCCCAAGGCGTCCAGTCAATAAAAAAAAAAAAAACAGACAAAAAACTACCCCCCCTTGATACAAAGGTGAAGGTATAAAAGGTATTGAGTGTCCTTGTGAATTGTCACTACCAGGCTCTGATGTCCTAGTGCCTTCTTCCCTACTTTGTGACACAAGCCCACTAGGAATTAAAAGGTTTATCTAAGGCGATCAGGGTATCCATTCGATTTGTGAAAATTCAGAGAACTGAACAATATGTGCACTTTTCTTCTTATATATTATACTTGAAAACAATGCTGAAATTATGTACTAATTTAATTATGCATCATAATTGATCACTGATGTCCTGTTAATAATGCATTACTAGTGTTACCTCCTTTAAGCTTTTTCGAAACAGGCTTCTGGGAGGCAGAATAGGTTTTGTTAGCCCTTTGTTTTATATGAGGTCAACAAAGTGCCTTGTTAACAAAGGTTAAATAGATTGATATAAAATTTTGTATAAGTCCCTTAAAAAGATTGCATTCTACCAATACCGATATGACCGCAAGCCATATCATCTTCTCCTCCAACGGCATATGCCTCATTGAGATCAAGAAGAATTCAAGTCAACACAGTTGCAATACTTACATGAATGGGCTTGGAATAAAATCCTTGATTTTGTGACCATGGAAAATACACTGTGTCACATCAGGAAACATTCAATCAAAAGAACCCAAGGAACTTTTTTGGCACTTACATCTCTGATGTTAACATGAAGTACAGAACGGATATATATTGGTGTGTGAGTCGCCATGGTAAGATAAGCCCAGGATTGGCAGAAAGCAGAGACTAAAATGGCCCAAAGTGGTAGGGATTTGATCATAGCCTTAATGGGAAGAGACCTGGAAGAAAGCACATTTCAGTATCTACTCCATCAGAGACAGGCGTTCTCTGCACAGCCCTCTGCACATCAGAGACATCCTGGCAGACATGGAAGAAAATGGTAGGGGAGGCTCTTAATGTACCTCTTCGCTAATGCACGTTGGATGTACATCTTCTCACCAGTGCTGATGAACGGATGATGAAGGGGATCATCATAAACCAGAAGGAAACATAGAGCACAGCAGACACAGCCAATTCCACCTAGCAAGAGAGGATCCAATGAGCATTGCGCCGGAGTCCCTCTTTCATCGTGACTGCCCAGAGAGCGTGACTGTACTTAACAGAAGGACTGATTTCAATTCTCTAATCTTCCCTGAATCTATCTCCTTCCACAGTTCTCTCACAGATGGCGCGCACTTTCCCACTTCTTGACTTTAAACTTGGCCATGTCATTTGCTTTTGGCAATGCCTTAGAACCACTGGGAGCCTAGAACGTATGTGTGCTTCTCTTTTTCCTTATGAGTGACTGCCTTCAAGAGCAGAACATACTCCAGCTAGCATGCTGTCCAAGGAATATGAGAAACACAGGTTTCAGAGGTGCCCAGGTACCCCACCAAATTATGATAATAAGTGATGGTTGTTTTCTACCATCAATTTTCAGAGGTTTGGAAATGACCGCTATTTAGGCTATCACCATTCTTACACCTTGTTGTCCCCTGTGCTTGCAAATGACCTCACTGTTCAAGGACCAATTAGTCCCTCTCCTTGTAGTCAGGTTCCGTCCTAAATCTTTCCATAATGCTTTTATCTGATTAAAAGTCCATGATTAGAGTAATTCATTATTATGTGGAACCAATTACTCAGAAAATGTCAAGGCATGAACTGAAGTTAATCTTCAGCAAATAAATTCCCTCTAATATGTACATGTATAAAGTGATGAGAAAATCAGACTTATCATGATTGAATGCAGAGATTACAGATTTTTAACCATCCATCTTGGGGTTTTGAGAAGGTGTAAAGATTTCTCAGTCTCAGTTTTTGGCTTGCCATGCACACATTGATTCATAAATGTAAATAAACAGTCCCCATGCATCAGGCATTATGTCATAAGTTCAAAATATATCTCAACAAAAACACAATTTGGGCACCAGTAAATTTCATCTAAGAAGGAAATAACAGATGTAAAAATTAAACAGTTATGATGCACACTGGAAATTGAAGATCTTAGTCTTCATTCAGCAAATAATGAATGATTTCTTATTATATATAGCTGCTTACAGTTTCTCAAAATCGTGGGTACAGCAGTCCTCTCACTGCTAGAATAATACTTGTCATATGTCCTTTTGAAGTTTCTGGGGTAAATCTATGAAGGTGGATGAGCTGAAATAATCAAATTTTTCATGTTTTCCCCCCTAGTGTATATGTTGATCCGGTGTTAAAGGCATGCTTGATGTGAAAGAACTAGACACCCACTAAAACAGTAGGGAGACTTACTCTAAGGAATCAGGCAGTTTGCAAGTGGGATTTCGCTGAGAATATTTCTGAATCAATTAAACACAAACCACAGCTGAGAGTTAATGAGCAGGTCCCAACTAGGTGTGTGTAACAGGCTGTGAATAGTAAGATAGGGTCTCAGGGTCATTGCACGTAGCTTTTAGAAAACTCTTGCACAATCTCACGCCTCACTCCTGAGTCCTCTATGGATCTGGCTTATCCTATAACTTCTACTGGTTTGATCTCCACATTAGAGAATCAAAATTTTGTTTCTCATTAGGTTACAGCATTCTGGTTACTGTAATAATTGGGGGTGAGGGGGGCGGGGAAGCAGCTCTTTCAAAAAGCAGCATGATATAAAGTATGATCTCTCCAGGATATGGTTTCCACAACTTAAAAAAAAAGAAGAAATTTCCGTGTCCTTATGGGTTAATATGAGAAGTGGCAAATAATGTTATCATGCATTTAAATTCATAAAATCATGGGACTTATTAAAGCTAGGCATTGAGGCAACTGAAACATAAATGTCAATTTGGAAGCCAGCAAAATTAATTGATCACCGCTTTTAACTCTAAGTATTTTCAACATTGGTTATATAAACATCCAACTTGCATGAGAGAAAAATGATGTGCGGCATTTCTCGGTCATCAAATAAAACTCTGAAATTTGAAAAGCACAACTCACCAAAAATGTAGAAGATGTAAGGCCACCCAATGGTCTGGCAGAGGAGACCACCAAGAGCAAAGATGATGAAGTTTCCCAGCATTACCCCTGCACACATGGGGACATGTTCTGGGTGAGATGGTCAGGTTCGGGACATTAGAGCTTCCTCTCAATCTACCCCTTAGCAAGCTGAGTCACACAGTGATGACAAGTATTAATCCAGAATACCTACTTTCAAATTTTGCTCCTTATCCAGTAATTGTAAGATCTTGGACAAGTTATGGAGCTCATTTATCTCAGTTATCTTCGGTATGAAATGGGAATTTTTTTTTTAACTGTTCTGGATGTTTTTTTTTTAAATCGTTTTATTAGGGGCTCATACAACGCTTATGACAAGCCATCCATACATCAATTGTGTAAAGCACATTTGTACATTCATTGCCCTCATCATTCTCAAAACCTTTGCTCTCCACTTAAGCCCCCGGCATCAGGTCCTCATATTTTCCCCCTCCCTCCCTGCTCCCCCCTCCCTCATGAACCCTTGATAATTTATAAATTAAAATTTTGTCATAGCTTGCACTGTCCGACGTCTCCCTTCACCCACTTTTCTGTTGTCCGTCCCCCAGGGAGGGGGTTATATGCAGATCATTGTAATTGATTCCCCCTTTTCACCCCATCCTCACTCCATCCTCCCGGTATCGCCACTCTCGCCACTGGTCCTGAAGGGATCATCTGCCCTGGATGATCAGCCTTCATTAGGGTTTCAGTAATTCCTCTTGGTTACATTACCCTTGGTCACGCCCTACCAGGCCTCCTATACCCTGCTCACCACTGATTTGGATCACTTGTTTTTCCCTTGTCCCTGGGTTTGTTAACACCACTACCTTTCCCCCACCTCCCTCTCTCCCATGTCCCCCCGGAACTGTGGGTCCCGTTGTTTTCTCCTCCAGATTGTTCACCCAGCCTGTCCTATCCAGACAGACCTGCAGAGATAATAACATGCACAAAAACAAGACAGAGCAAAACCAAGCAACAAAATAAAATAAAACAACAACAACAACAACAACAAGCCAATGGCAAAAAACAAAACAAAAACAAAACAAAATACAACAGCAAGAAAGAAAAGCTTAGTTAGTTCAAGGACTGTTTGTTGGCCGTTAGGAGTGTTTTCCGGTCTAGTCTGATGGGGCTCCAAATCCTGGCCCCAAAGTCTATTTTTTGGTATTCTCTGGGGACTTCCTTGCTTGGTTCCCCTTGCTGTTCTGTTTCATGCCCTTAGTGTTTTGCCTTGGTGTGGTGGGATCAGATCGGGTGGAAAAATGGGAATATTTATAGTTGATTAATAAGATTTTCTGAGGCTATAATGGAACAGTAAGTATAAAGTGTAATACGCATAAACAAATATATGTGTCCTATATACATGTGCAAAATAGAGTTTGGTGAATAGCAAACATTCAGTTATGATGTAGAAAGACTATTTAAGATAGTAATTTAGTGCAAGATAAAGGCGAAGGAGTAGTTTGGGTACAATGTTGGTTCCGTTGACATACCATTGCAGAGTACTCTTGCACAGTTCATTTAAGGTTAGCCTGAGGATATCAATTACCTGATAAAGCAATGGTGATAAGTTGACTCCTTTCTAGTGAGGGAGCCCATTTGGTCCAAATTGAATATTGACCTGTTAGTACCATAATCTGTGAAACAAAAACAAAAAAAGAAGAAGAAGAAAGAAAGAATTCTTATTCTTAGCATTGTACATTTGTCCTGGAATCACTAATATGCAGAAAACCTCCTGGTACCTGGGCTATGCCTTGGACTATCCGAATGACAATGAGCAATGTCACTCCTGTATCAGCTGCCAGTGGAATAAAGAGATTCAGGGCTGAGCAAATGAACAAGCCAGCGTCAACCACATGCTTGACTCCAAATATCCCAGCCACATAGCCGACGAGTAGTGGAGTCAACAAGGAGCCGTAGTTGAAGGAGCTGAGGATAATTCCCTGGATTTCGGAACTCCAGTCATACACAGGGGCCTAAAGGACAAAGAGAATCTCATGTCTATTGAATTTGCTTAGAGAGTTGACAGTTTCTTTCTTGTGATAATGGAAAAGCAAGAAATTATGGGAAGTTTTCTTCCTTTTAACTCTCTCTGATTACCAATCTACCATTTTCATCAAAAAGACAGAAGTATGTGCTCAATTTTCTCTTTCTCATTGCCCTGACACAATTAATCAATCCCTTAAAGTACGAGGACCTGTTCAGAATGAAAGTGTCTACAAGTAGGACAAGCTAACATCGTGTAGTAAAACATGTAGAAGAACCAAATGAAAAATAGACAAAAATCTGAGCTACCTATGTATGGAGATTTCCATTAATTTGTGTGTCTACGCATACAGTGAAACCCGGGCGTGCTAGAATTTGACAGGTTGTCTTGTAAATTTTTCTTCCTTTTTCAGAATGCAGTCTTATCACTTTTTAATTTTAGGGGGAAATATTTGAGTTTTCCTCCTGTGACAAAGTCCACCTTCTACAAGTTTTCACACACACACAGAGACTTTAAAATTTTCATGGAAAATTTCATTATCACCTCTGGGTGACAAGAAAAACAAATTTATAAACACACATAAGTATATAAGAAAGAGCTTTATATACAAGAACAATTTAATATTGAAAAAACATCCCAGTCCAATCCAGATCAAGTCCATAAGTCCAATATTAACCCATATGTCTGATACCAATCTATAGGGTCCTCTTCGGACTCACAAAACACATGCAATGATGCCGAATGCAGGGAGGTCACAGGCCAGTGGGTGGGGAGTGAGCTGAGAGAGAGTGTTTCCTGACTCCAAGGAGGAAAAATATAGGAGTTCCCAGAATCCTTAGGAGAAGGCCATGCCCACACAGAGATCTCATTGGCTATATCCTGATTGACAGGCTAGACTCCAGCTCTACACTCTGAATCCTCAAATTGACACCAGATTACATAACTATCATACTTTTAATTTTTTTCACAAACTTTTTGAAACCCCTTCCTATAGATATATAGTTTTTCCCCCTTTCATTAAAAAAATATACTCCTTTGTATTCTAATTCAGTTCCAAGATATACTCATAGATGCTA